CAGTTTTTGGGGTTTCCAGAACTTTGTGGCTCAGATGGGTGTTCAAGAGCTACCTTTGCAGGGTTTACAGAGTACATGGGCAAATAACAGAGTTGGGGAAGGGTTTGTGGAGGAACTGTTGGATAGAGGATTTGTATCTTTTGGATGGACTCAGAAATTCCCTAATACTCAAATTCATAGCTGGTTCATGAGTGCATCTGACCATTGTATGCTTGTCCTTCACTCAAAAAGAGGAATTACTAGACCCAAGAGCCGGTTTGTTTTCTTATAAGAGATGGATCCTCAAACAAGGGGTTCAGACAGTGTTTAAAGAGGCTTGGGAGACACCAGTGCAGGGCACCCTTATGTTTCAATTGAAGGAGAGAATTAAGAAAGCCAGAGAAGCTTTGATACTGTGGAGTAAGTATTTCGGTCTCAGAATGCTCAAAAGATTGAAAAACTAACCTTGCAACTTGAAGAAATATAAAAAGAATGGGGTAACAGGCATTGGGAAACTTAGGATAAAATCAAGAAAGAGTTGGATGAAGCCAATGGGGATGAGGAGATGTTCAGACAGCATAAGGCTAGGGCTTTGTGGCTAAAGGAGGGGGATAAAGATACTAATTTTTTCATGCTTATACAACACATAGGAGGAAGATGGATGCTATAGATAAACTGTTGACTGGGGGAGAAGTTCTAAGTGAAGACCAAGCAGAAATTGAGAAGACTATTATTACTGTGGCCAACTTTTCTCATCCAGAGGATCCTATTTTGCTCATCACTTCTTACCTCTTATTCCATATTCAATAACTGCAGAGATGAATGCTACTCTTATAGCCCCTGTGGAGGAGGATACAATCAACCAGGCTGTCTTTAGTATCCACCCAGAGAAAACACCAGGGAGAATGGGATGAGAGGGCTCTTCTACCAACATTTTTTTGCCTATTGTGAGGACATATACTTGTAATGCAGTCTAGAGTTTCTTTGTGTCAGGACAGATGTTGAGGTACTGGAAACATTCTCTTATTACATTGATACTTGAATGCCCTAATCATGTTCCTATCACTCAATTTAGGCCTATCAGTTTGTGTGATGTCTTCTATAAAATCATTTCAAAAATTCTAGCACTAAGATTGAGGGATTATCTTCATGCTTTTATATATGAGAATCAGAATGCCTTTTTTCCTGGTAGACAAATACTGGATAATATAGTGATAGGACATGAGATGTTTCACTTTTTGAATAGACACATGAGTGGGAAGAATTATTTTATGGCTTTGAAACTGGATATCATGAAAGCATATGACTGTGTTGAATGGAAGGTTATTTAGTTGACTATGCTCAAAATGGGTTTTCATAGATTGTTTGTTAAATGGATTATGAATTGCATTCAATTTCCATCTTTTTCTTTCAACATTAATGGTAAATGCAGTAAGCATATGGTAGCCTCAAGGGGAATCAAACAAGGGGATGCTTTATCCTCTTTTTTGTTGTTATCATCTCTGAGCTGCTCGCTGCAATGATAAAGGATGAAGCTGATAAAGAAAGGTTCAAAGGGCTTAGAATCTCTAGAGGAGGGCCTACCCTTACCCATCTTATGTTTGCAGATGATACTCTGCTGTTTTGTTAAGTAGATGAAGATAAAACAGGTAAACTGCTGGAGATTTTAAAAGCCTTTCAGGATTTTACTGGCCAACATGTGATCTGGGAGAAATCTACTGTGTTCTTCAGCAAAAATTCACATGGGGAGATTCAGACCAGGGTGTGTTCATTGATGAGAGGCAGCACAAGTCACTCATCTACCAGGTATCTGGGCCTTCCCTTAGGAATAAGAAAGTTTAAAACTGATGCTTTTGACTACATTGTAACTGTGGTGAGGAACAAGATTTTTAGTTGACAAAACAAATGGCTGACATCTGCAGGTAAGGAGGTTTTAATTCGAGTTGTTCTTAATGCATTACCTGTACTTTCCATGTCTTGCTTTGTGCTTCCTGTAGGGCTATACAGAGAAATATCTTGTACATGAGGTCAGTTTTGGTGGAGTAAAGGCACTGGGTTTCAGAGAGGGCTGCATTGGGTGGATTGGAACAGATTGACAGTAGCTAAGAAGTATGGAGGTTTGGAATTTCAGGATGTCCAACTTTTTAACACTGCTCTTATTGCCAAACAATTGTGGAAGCTAGTCACTAAGCCAGAGAGGTTAGTTAGCAGAGTGTTAAAATCCAA